TTTTCCCGCTTGCCCGCCCGCCCGCCCTCCGCTAGAAGCTACAATAACGGGCACTGCGGGTCTGAGGCACCAGGACGAGCTGCCTTCCGCAGCTCGGACCCAGGCCCAGGACGTCCCACCTCAGCCGCCTGGGGATCATTTAGAAGCCAGGGGAGGAGGAGCGCCCTGGGATCGCTGGCTGGGTGGCCGGGCTCAAGTGACGTCCTGCTCTGCGCAGACCCCGCGGCCGCTCGCACCTGCCCCGGCACCCGGATCACGCGGGGTCTGGATGGGATGTAGGTCCTGCGCGGGCCAGGGCCGAGCCAGGCGGCGGGACTCCACTCCGCGCGGCGCAGAGGGCTGGGCGGCTCCGTCCCAGAGAAGGCGGGGGCGCCTCCGCACGGGCCGAGCTGGCTGACGGAAGCCGCGGTCCAGGGCGGGCGATGGAGCAAACCAGCCCGGGAGATGGGGGCGGCCAGTCTGGGGGCGAGGGCGCGGCGAGGCGGCAGGGTCCGCGCGGGGGACCCAGAGCGGGAGCCGGAGCGGGGCCGGCCGCGGTGCGCGCCGTCGGGAGCGGCGGCCAGGGCGCCCCCTCCGGCAGCGCGGGGTCCGGGCGGGGTGGCGGGGGCGGCGCCAGGCGGCGGTGACGCGCACAGGGGACGTGCCGCGCGAGCGGGGAGAGCGCTTAAAGTCGCCCGGCCTGGCCGGCATCGCGGCGGGCAGGACGCGCAGAGGCAGAGGCGGCAGGTAGGCGCGGCCCGGATGCTCGTGCGCGGGCCTCACCCTTACTCTTTTGTACCCTGGGGTCTCGGGCCAGCCCTCCCACCCTGCGGCCCCCACCAAGGGGCACGGTATACCCGGCCGCCCGGCCTCAGCGGGGCAACCATCCGTCGGGCGGCCCTCGGGTGCTGGGCTCCGGCCAGGAGGTGGCCGCGCCGGGTGGCGGAGTCTGCACTGAGTATAAATAGCTCGGTCCTTGGCCGGGGCGCGAGGGCTGTATTTGGTGGGTCTCCCCGAGGGAGAGGGGCGCACGTGCGCTCCCGGCCAGGCCCCTGGGTGGGGGGTGATCTCTCGCCCCCTCCTTCTCCTAACTTAGCATCTCACACCCACCCTCGGTCCACAGTCCAGAGGCCAAACCCGGGGCACAGGTGGAGGACCCCCTCAAGAATCGAGGTGCCCCCCAGCCTGTGGGAACACCAGACAGGGCCCTCAGTTTCCTTCTCTGGAAGTGAGTGGATGAGGCGCCTATCTGGATGCTGGGTGCTCCAGAGGCAAGCGCTGGGAGGGAAGGAAGGGAGGGAAGCCCTTAGCCCTGGGCCTCTTCGGTGCTTGGCTCAGAGTGAGGGCAGCAGAGGGCCAGTGTCCTTCCTGCCGCAGGTGCACCGGGCTGCTGGTCCACCCTCTAGGCTGACATAGTCACTCTGTGAGGACCCGAATCAGGCCCACTGAGTGATCTCAGGAACAGCAAAAGGCAGGTGGCCTCTCCCAGCACCCAGGCCTGGGGCTGGCCCCACAGGGAGAGCCCAGGTGCCTGTTTCCAGGGGTCCCAGCTCTGTTCCCCGGCCGAGAGTTGGCTGTGTCTGGTGGGTGTGGGGGTCTGCCCCTGCTGAGGGCCGGCAGCTCCACCAGTGTGGACATGCCCTGAGTGGGCAGTGACTGATCCTCTGCTGGGGTCGGGCCTGCACCCAGAGGCAGGTGTGGAGCCTTCTGGCCCAGGGCTATGGTGTGGTCAGGGCTGGGGTGGCCCCACGGCAGATTCGCCCCCATACCCCGTATGACCTTGGGCAGGGCCTGTTACCCAGAAGGCTGTGGCCCTCGCTGCCAGGAAGGAGGACACTAAGTTGTAGGGAGAGCCAGGAGAGGGCTCTGGTGACCTCAGAGCAGCCAGCGAGGCTTGCAGGAGGCGGGGCTCATGGGGGGACCCTTCACAGAAGTGGTCCTGGGGATGGAAAGGCCAGTGAGGAGCCCCAGGCCGGCCCTTTGAGGAGGTGGCACTGAACGAGAGGTGCGCCTTCAGGCCAGGTCCTGGGCCACAAGGCACTGGGCCCTGGGCCAGAGACTGTGGGGGAGCCGACAACGCCTGGGCTTCTCCCAGAGTCAGCCTGGGCTAGCACACCCCTGCCCCTCAGTGTCCATCTGTGAAATGGGCCGAGCGGGGAGCGGGCGCCCTCACAGACCCATCGTCCCCCTGGCCGGGGTGCGCGACCCGGGGTTCCCGCGGTTGGCGAGCCGGCGTCCCCATCCCCAGCAGAGGCGGAGGAGGCCGGTCCACCCCGCGAGGCGCTCCCCGAGGCTGGCTGACCCTGCGCACGCCGGCCAGTACGGTAGCGCGGCAGGGCGCCTACTCCAGGCAATACGGCGCGGCCCCTCCCACGGCGCGGCCGTCACGTCCCCCACGTCCCAAGGCCGCGGGGGCGGAGCATCCTCCCGGTTCGCCCCCCCCCCCCCCGTGCAACCCGCCCACCTGGCCCAGTCAGCGTCCCCTCCTGCATCGGGGCGGTGGCCCGGCACGCGCGGAGGAGGGGCCTGGCTTCCGGCTTCCCGCTTCCCGGCCCGCTATTACCCGGGGAGCGGTGGGAGGGCGCTTCCGGACCCTGGGCCTCCCCTAGGGAGGGGAGGGAGGAAGGGACTCCGCGGCCGCGGGGCTGTAGACTGACCCGGCCACAGACCCCAGCCTTGCAGGGAAGGGCGTTGAACACCAAGGTGGACCGGGCCCCAGGCTGTCCGCTGTGTGGCGGGAAGGCCTGAGGTCTCCTCAGATGGTTCGGGAGCCCAGACACCGCTGGGCAGCACCCTGAGGTCTCAGCGCCTCAACCTGGACTCTGGAGCTTCGGCATCCACTGGCCGCAGCAGATGATGTGAAGCCACACACAGGGCCTGCACTGGGGCCGAGAGGGTCAGGGTATGGGGTGGACGGCCGCCCTCTGCTCTCTGCTCTCGGGATCCTTCCTCAGAAAAAGCCTCAGGGTTATTCCTGGCCGACCCCCCGGGGGGGGGCACGCTGCCAGTGCGGTTTGCACAATGCCACCCCACAGAAGAGGAAGGAAGGGCAACTCTGAATCAGGCCCGCCCTCGCCTGTGCACCCTCCTGCCTCTGCCACCCTGAGAATTCGAAACAGGGTGTCTGTGTCCTTGTCCCTCAGTGGTGTGGTCTGGTATGTAACTGGAAGGAATGTCATTGTCCCCATGCTTGCCATCTACCTGGACCACAAAGGCCAGCATCTGGGAAAGCCAGCGTGGGACCTGGGCTGCCCTGCTGCAGTTCATGATGCGGGCCCGGACAGGCGGGCGAGGGGCCAGTTTCTGTGGGGGTAGAGGTTTGTGTAGGCAGAGGGCTGCCCATGTGGGAGGGTACACAGGGCCCCGGCTGGGAAGGTTACTACACTGGTCTTCCACGCACCCTACCATCGCTGTCCCTTCGTCAGCTTCAGCTGCTGGGGCTATGGGACCTTCAGAGGACCTCTAAGGGCCAGCCCCGAGAAGAGAAGAGCCTCTGCTGAGCCAGAGGCTCCCCCCAGCCCCAGATCAGCTTTCTGCGACCCGGAGGCCAGGTTATTTCTGGGCTGGTTCACATGCTCCCCTAGGAGGGTAAATGTCACTGAAAGGCTAGCCCGGTGCAGTGTGCCCGTGGGAATGCTGTCAGAGGTGGCCTGTGGTGGATGCCTTCTCCCCAGTGCTAGGCCAGGCAGCCAGCCTGCCTGGGGTTTTCTTTGGAGATCAGCATGAACCCATGCTTGGGGTCATCCTGGGAGCAGAGGTTCACCTGCCTCCCCCAAAGCAGGCTGGGTTCATGAGGCCATTTCATTCTAGGAAATCCCAGCCCCGTCCTCGGCACTGCCTGCAGTGTGCAATTCTCTGCTTCACACCATGTTGGCAGCCAGCCTAGAGCCAGCCCCGGTTGGCAAGTGAAAACCTCGCTGAGAAGCCCCTTCTGCAGGGTGGCTGGCATGCTGGGTGGTGTGCGCATCCACTGTGGTCGCTTCGGTTGGGAGCTTCCTGTCCAGGACCGCCATCTCGGTGCAGGTGGTCCTCTCTGTGTGAGCCCCATGTGGCAGCCACAGCCTTCTGTGGCCAGAATGTGCTGTGCCCGCCTGGGCTCTGGGTGCTGGCCACTCTGCCTGCCCTCCAAGATCCCGGTCCGGGCACCTTACTGTAAGCAGGAGATGCCCTCACCTCCTTGCTTTCCCTCCTCTGGGCCTGGAGGGTGGCCCAGTCCTTGGGGCAGTGGGCATGCACAGGAAGGGGGCCTTAAAAGCCTCAGGGGCTTGTGATGCCCTGGCAGGCACTGGGCAGGGCTGGTGTGGCAGGAGTTGGGCCCTGGCCCCACTGTGTGTGCTGGGGGGCACAGGTGAATCCATAGAGCTGGCTCTTCCTGTCGCTGGTTTTGGACACACTCCACTCCCTGGCTTTGAATGTCCACTTGATTTATTTTTAAAAGTGCAAAAAAAAAATTCTAAATCCACAATCCACACAAGCAGGAGCCCCCGGAGACAATCACCCCTCTCACTGTCCTTATGACCACCCTTGGAGTCCTGAACTGTGACTGTATTACTGTGCATTCCTAAAATGTACATTTTTTTTTTCAGTTTTTTCCAAGTTTCCCTGCTGTACATAAGCTTAAGGGTGTTCCCCCTTTCCCCTAGTACTAGGGATTGAGCACTGGGCCGCCCACGCTAGGCAAGCGCTCTACCAACTAAGCTGACCCTGGCCCTTTTATTTTTATTTTTTGGTACCGGGGATTGAACTCGGGTCCTTGTGCTTGTGAGGCAGGTGGTGGAACCACTGAGCTAAATCCCCAGCCTGCCAGCCTTTTTAATTTTTTTAATTTTTTATTTTTTTTGAGACAGGGCCTCACTATGTAGCCCAGGCTGGGCTTTAACTTTCAGTGATCTTCCTGCCTCAGACTCCCCAGTGCTAGGACTACAGGTGTGCACCACATGCCTGGGGAGCCCTTTTAATTTTGAGACATGCTCAGGGTAAGTTGGCCAGGCTGGGCTCATTGTGATCCTCCTGCCTCAGCCTCCGAGTAGCTGGGATTAGAGGTAGGATCTTTTGAATTTAGTGCTAATATGAAGAAGAGTCATCCTGTGCCCACTGCCTGCCACTTGGCGTTCCACGACTATGCCAACGCAGTCCTTCTCTGTCCTGTCTTGGGCTTGGACAAGCCCGGCTGCTCTGAGGTAGGGTGCTGGCTTGGAAGGCCTGTGGGTCACCCTAGAGGAACAGGTCAGACTGAGCCTAGGTCCCCATATCCCACGGCCCAGTCTCTAGCTACCCACAGGGGCGCTGTGCTGGCAGGAGGAAGCCAGGAGCTTGGCAGGAGTGGGGCCAAGAGACAGCTAAACCAGGGGTGACTGTGGGTCACAGCCGCTGTTCTGGCCGGGGGCTCTGGGCATTGGCTGCACTGGCTAACCTTACACACCAGGGCTTATTTCTCTCCCCAGGGAGCTGGCAGGCCACACACCACTGGTGGGGAGCGGCTGAGCAGATTGGATTGAAGGCCCTAGGCGTCGGACGCCAGCCCTGTCCTAGCTGTCTCCTTGGTGAGGCTGGGGATAACCTCGGATTAGGGGACTTCGGATGGGAGTGGGGCAGGAAGCTGGAACCCTGGCTTTGATGAGCTAACCTCTTGGATTTACAAAAAGGGAAGTCAGCCCTGGCTGCTGTGGGTTTACCAGCCTGGGCCCGGAAGAACAGACCCAGTGGGCTGGCCAGAAGCCGCCTCCTCCCGGGCCCCAGACCGCCCTCGGACCCATCGGGGCTTCCACCTTTCTCAAGAGCCTGAGGTGGCTCTGGCAGCTGCCAGGCTCCACCCATGGGAAGGGGTTCAAGTGGCTGGCCCCAGCGTACCTGCTCCCAGAGGACACAGCCTCTGGGTCGAGGTGGAGGGGAGGGGAAGGCTGCCACCGAGCACACAGCAGGCACTGCCCTGCGGGTCTGCTCTTCCCAGGACGTAATGTGAATCTGGCTGAGCCCCAAAACCACTGCTCTTCAGAGCCCGAGTATGGGAGCAGGAGGCTGAGGGTGGGTTAGCCCTGGTAACCAAGCAGCTGGTAGAGGTGGCCAGAGGTGGCAGCCTGCCCATGGGTGCGGTCTGGGAGCGGCCGGGTGCCAGTCCCAGCCTCCTGGCCTGCCTGACCTGCATCCCCACCCTCCCCTGCAGGGCTACAGCTACTGATCACCCCGGCACCTGAGCCAGCCCTGGTTCCTTTCCTTCCTCAGGTGAGAAGAACCAGCCCTCTCGGCCATGGGCGGCGCTGTGCTGGATGAGGGCCCCACAGGCGTCAAGGCCCCCGACGGGGCCTGGGGCTGGGCTGTGCTCTTCGGCTGCTTTGTCATCACCGGCTTCTCCTACGCCTTCCCCAAGGCCATCAGCGTCTTCTTCAAGGAGCTCATTCGCGAGTTCGGGATTGGCTACAGTGACACGGCCTGGATCTCCTCTATCCTGCTGGCCATGCTCTATGGCACAGGTGCGGCCTCCACACCTCGGGACTGGCTGACCTAGGGTGGGGCTCATCTCACGCTCTCAAGACGGGATCCTGCTGGGGAGCAGTCGGGCCTTGGTGACGCAGCCTTGGCCCTGGCGAAACAGTGGGTGGCACCTACAGACATCCCAGAGGATAAGCCGGCACCAGGGTGCTCTCATGCGCCCCGTGGGGGTGAGGCTGTGCCTCCAGTGCTTGCGAGGGGCTCCCTGTTGAGTGTTGGGAGGGAGTGACCATCCGAGGCAGTGGGCTGGGGCCTGCGGACCCACCCAGCTGCCGCCTTCCCACAGGCCCGCTCTGCAGTGTGTGTGTGAACCGCTTTGGCTGCCGGCCGGTCATGCTCGTGGGTGGCCTCTTTGCCTCCCTGGGGATGGTGGCTGCGTCCTTTTGCACGAGCATTATCCAGCTCTACCTCACCGCAGGCGTCGTTACTGGTGAGTGCGGCCCGGCAGACGCTGCTGGGTGCTGGCGGGGGGCGGCGGATGAGCACTGGGCTTTCCACCAGGATGGCCTGGGCACGCGCTGTCCTGTCGAGAAGAGCTCAGGGGTGCGGTAGGCACAAGCGGAGGTGGCAGGGGCGTCCTCAGACCCACACGGACCGGTGGGGCCTCACCTGCCCCCTCCCCTGCAGGCTTGGGTCTGGCTCTCAACTTCCAGCCCTCCCTCATCATGCTCAACCGTTACTTCAGTAAGCGGCGCCCCATAGCCAACGGGCTGGCAGCGGCGGGCAGCCCGGTGTTCCTGTGTGCGCTGTCCCCAATGGGGCAGGTGCTGCAGGACCACTATGGGTGGCGGGGCGGCTTCCTCATCCTAGGCGGCCTGCTGCTCAACTGCTGCGTGTGCGCTGCGCTCATGAGGCCGCTGGTGGCCCCCGAGTCGGCCGGGGGGCCCAGGCCTCAGCAGTCACCCCGGCGGCTGCTGGACCTGAGTGTCTTCCGGGACCGTGGCTTCGTCATCTACGCAGTTGCTGCCTCCATCATGGTGTTGGGGCTCTTCGTGCCACCCGTGTTTGTGGTGAGCTATGCCAAGGACCTGGGCGTGCCCGACACAAAGGCTGCCTTCCTGCTCACCATCCTGGGCTTCATCGACATCTTTGCCCGGCCGACCGCTGGCTTCATCACAGGGCTCAAGAAGGTGCGGCCCTACTCTGTCTACCTTTTCAGCTTCGCCATGTTCTTCAACGGCTTCACTGACCTCACAGGCTCCACAGCCAGCAACTATGGGGGCCTGGTAGTCTTCTGCATCTTCTTCGGCATCTCCTACGGCATGGTGGGTGCGCTGCAGTTTGAGGTGCTCATGGCCATTGTGGGCACCCACAAGTTCTCCAGTGCCATCGGCCTGGTGCTGCTGATGGAGGCCGTGGCCGTGCTCATTGGACCCCCGTCGGGTGGTGAGTGCCACTGGGGGTTGGGGTACACTCTGGGGACCCAGAACTGGGAGGCCCAGGCCAGCAAGTGTCAGGAGTACGTGGACACCTGGGCCCCACTGAGGTGAAGCTGACAGGCTCTGGCCCCCACCTGAGCTTCCTGCACCTCAGCAGGATCCTGGGGTGGGAGAGAGCACCCTAAGCCACACCGTCTGGCCCTCCGGGTCTCAGGGCCCTTGATTACGGAGTACAGGGCTGGCCAGCGTCCAGCAGGGCGGCTGGTGGCCACAGGAAGGCTCTTCCATGACTGGACGTGGCTCGCCCTGCCCCCTGACTCTGCAGACCCTCCACACCACTCGTTTTCAGCTCTCAGCCTTTGCTCGGGGGGAAAGAGGAAGTGGGAGGACAGAAGGATGCCCCTGGACAGTGCGTGTGGCAGCAAGGTGCCCATCCCATGGGGGTCTTCCCCACCTCCCAGACATACCAGCCAGACACCAGAGGCGTCAGTGGGAGCCCGGGACCCAGGAGCCACCTGTGGCTCTCGGGGGCCCGGCTGGTGACACGGGTCTTCTTGCAGGCAAGCTGCTGGATGCAACGAAAGTCTACAAGTATGTGTTCATCCTGGCGGGGGCTGAGGTGCTCACCTCCTCCCTCGTGCTGCTGCTGGGCAACTTCTGCATCAGGAGCAGGTCCAAGGCATTGAAGCCCGAGGCAGCGGCCTCAGAGGAGGAGAAGCCCCCTGTGGATGTGAGGGTGGACTCAAGGGAGGTGGAGCACTTCCTGAAGGCAGAGCCTGAGAAAAACGGGGAGGTGGTTCACACCCCGGAAACCAGTGTATGAGCGGCCTGGCTGGGGCCGGCAGGGCAAAGGGACGAGGTTCAGAGACTGGCAACATGTATTTATTTCACAAACAGGACTAGCTGAGCCGGGGCTGTCAGCTCGGTGCTGGGGTGCTGGCTGCCTGGTCACTGGGTCACCACCTGACCTGTTTCATGGGGGGAGGGGGTGAAGTGGGGATCGTGTCATTCCAAAGCGGATCTGCAGTGAAGCCAAGCCCCCAGTTATAAGCCACCTGCGCCACGGACCCCACCTGCGGACCCCGAGCAGCCTGTGCTCTACTGTAGTCAAGGACTTAGAAACCCGGACTTCTGAGACAACACCACTTTAATCAGAGCCAGGGCTGCTGCCGGGTGCCTCCCTGTGGTCTGACCCCACTGTCCTGCCCTCCCCTCCTGCGCAGCCCATTCCCCTCTGCCCATCTGGGAAGGTGTGCTATGTGTGTGGAGGTGTGGGCTTGCAGGGAGCTGCTGGTGCAGTTCTGCACCGTGGTCTGTTTACCCCAAGTCTCAGAAACAACCTGGTTATTCTCACAAGTGCTCCTGTCCTTGTCAGCTTTCCCAGGGCTGTGTGTCCTGAGTGTTTCCTGCTGGCTCTCCCAGCCCCGCCCGGCCCCTGCAGGAGGTGGGTCGCTTGGCCATGAAAGTGCTTACAGGGCATGGAGAAGAGGTCTGGCGGGGAGGCACTATGTGCAAGGGGGTGCCCAGTGGGCAGCTGGAGGCCCCGGGGACTGGACTTGCCCCTCCTCACTGGTCTCTAGACCCGTGGGAGTCTGAGTGGTGAATGGACTGACCTGAGATACAGCGTGTGCTGTTTACTGCTTGTGGGCTTAAAGCACATTTTCCTGCCTTTCATTTATTCACCCCCTGGTTGGCTGGAAAGCTTGCTCTGTGTGGTCAGCATCGCTGATCTCTGCTCCCCGTTCTCCATCCAGCCTGCACTCAGAGCTCTGGCTGGCCCTGGGTACCTCACACCCACCTGCCCTCGTGGCCAGCGGCGGCCTGCATGGCTGGGAGCCTGCTCAGAGGCTCCTGGGGCACCTCAGTAGGTGGTACGTCGCGGGCGCTGGCGATGGCAGCAGGCACCCTGGCGGGCCATGTGCAACCGGAGTGATGCCACATCCCTGCTCCTCTGCAATGAAAAGGAGGGGAGAACTCGCATCCAGCTCTTCAAGGAAGTGGGTGACTTGCTGCAGCCCAGGCACTGCCTACAGCCTGTGGCTCAGATGCCCCCTGCCCTGGCTTCCTGTTCCCTCTGCCAGGGGCTGGGCTGATCGGCAGTGCTGGCCCCTGAAGACCACTGCCCAGCCCTGATGGCCAAGGGCCACATGCATCCTGGGAGGCTCTGCCTGTGTACTGGCCTCACCACGTGGGGAGGAAACAGCAGAGACCCCAGGCCCCAGGATGTGCTGGCCTCGAACGGGAGTCAGCTGCCTCCAGAAACAGGAAGGAAGGGACAAGGCTGTGGGGAGTGGTGGCATTTCAACAGGGTGCCAGGCCTCAGTGGACACCTGACCAGCTCCTCCTTCCTAGCGACCTCTGCTGCTCAGGGTCCCTGGGGCCTCCTGATCCACTGCTCTCCTCCAGGACCTGACTGGCCTTCCCTGGCCCTGCTGGCCACAGCAGTTACACCAGTGTGGCCGCCAGGATCTTGCTCCTGGAATAGTCTGAATAGGACCTGACCCGGTGACCATCCCTCATCTGGCTCACAGTCCATCTCAGGCGCAGCAGCAGGACATCCCTCCTCCCTGTCCTGTCCTGAGCTTGTACCCAGAGCACACGGCACAGCCAGGAAATGGTGATCCCCAAGTCAGGCTTTGGGGACACAACTCTGAAAAGGTGAAGATGTTGGGCTTGCTCCCCAGAAAGATACCTGTAGCTTGGCAGGGAGGGATCCACTGAAGGGAGAGGCTGCATGGCCCTGAAGCCCCCAGATCTGTGTAGCCTGCTGAGTCCACCACTCCCTGCACCCATAGAAAGATAGTGAGCAGGCTGCCTTCTCTGGAAAAAAACCAGAAATGCAGGCAGACACAGAAAAAGGCACATCCTGTGCCCAAGCTGGGGCGCTAGGCATACATAATACATGGTGCTGACACTATGCTGTGATCTGGCAGGCAAGTCATGAGGCGAAAGAATCCAGGAAGGCCACTGAGTGCTGGGGGGCAGTGGTGGCCTGGGGTGTCAGGGCATGGGCATGAACAGGGCTGCCCTGTGGGGGAACAGTCAGGTGCCAAAGTTCATGTTCAACCCCAACGAGAGCTGTTCCAGAGAGGCATGTCCATCTGCACCACTCCCAGACGGGCCCACGAGGGTCCAGACCTCTATCACCCCCAAGCCAGGCACCCTGGGCTGGCTGGGGCCACACCCCTGACCCTTCCCCATGCCCGCCTGCCCACGGCTGCAGAGAATCACCACGGAGAGGTCTGGCCAGTGCTGGGCATCTGCACAGAACACCCAGTCCCAGGCAGATGGAACCCAGAAAGGGCCCTGCACAGGGAGCAGCACCCAGACCTGCAAGACTTGCTCCTGGGACCACCTGCTGTTCCTCAGTGCGTGGACCGTGTCCTCCGGGATGCAGCTGTAGCACCCCAGGCTCAGAGGCCAGCTCCAGCTCACCCAGCACAGGGACCCTTCACAGGGTTGGCACCCGAGAAACAGGAAGGAGCACACATGGCCGGGGAAGGTGCTGATATGGGCAGAGCTGGTGCGACCACGGAGAAGCCAACGTGGGATACCTAGGGCTCAGGATGGCTGAAAGGCAGGGAGGCTGAACAAGTCAGGCTGGGGCTCCTGGCCGGGTGCCTGTTAATGGCCAGAGGGGCAGGAAGGTCATGTCTGAGGGGACACTGCAGAGCCCTGCCAGCATGTGCACATGTGCACCATACACAGGCCCAATCTGTTCTTAACTCTGATGACCTCCAAGTGAGTCTGGACCCGAAGTCCTGCTGGTGCATGCCTGGCTGCCCCAAGCTGGTCAGCACAGCGTGCAGGTGTATCCGAGAAAGGGCAGCCCAGGCAGCAGCTACAGACCTGGCTTCTACAGCCTGGCTCCTGGCCCTTGCCCTGAGAAGGGGCATGCTGTCGCGGACTCCAGGTGGGGACAAGGGATGTGCTCTGCCTGCTCCTGTGGGGAGCCAAGACGGCAGGCTACCGGGCTCTGCAAATGGGTAGGGGCAGCCGCCCTCCTTGGCAGGCCATGTCAGGCTGCTTGATTCCTGCACTACTTCCCAGGAAATCTACGGCACAGTGCTACCCGGAGGGTTGAGGAAGTTAGGGGCCTACTTCCTGCAGATGCTTAACCCAGGGGACAGAGGGGCTCTCAGAAACACCACACAGAACACACTGAAGTGAAAGTGTGCGGACCTCACCTGTCACCCCAGAGCCCGAGTGGGGAGCACCTTGGTCCTGCTCCAACCAGCTACCAACACACAGGCTGAGCAAGGAAAAGCAGGAACCCAGCCTCCCAGTCCGTGTACAGCCAGGCTTGGAGGCGCATGCCGCTAATCCCAGCATTCTGGGAGGCTGAGGCAGAGGGGCCACTAAGAGTTCGAGTCTAGCCTGGACAACTTAGCAATATGCTGTCTCAAAATAAATAAAAAAGGGCTGGGGATGATAAGGATGTAGCTCACTATGAAGGCTGTGGGTTCTATCCCTAGTCCCACAAAAAGGAAATGGAAAAGGGGCCGGGGATTTAGCTCAGTGGTTTTGCCGCCTGCTGCGCAAGCGCAAGGACCTGAGTTCGATCCCCGGTATCAAAAAAAAAAAAAAAAAAAAAAAGTTTTCACGTAGTTAATCTAAACCCACTCAAAACTCTCAGCTGATGAAATAAAGACCACACAAAAGGGGCAGGGAAGAAACATAGAAGTCATTATGAATTTATTATTTACACAATTGTTAAAGTACACAAATACAGTGGTAGTACAAACACACAGCTCAGAGACTGGTCACCAAGACACAGGTTGATACCCACATTCTAACTATGTTTCCTGTAAGTGTGATGGGGATTAAATATGGGGCAAGAACATCACAGCCACACCCTCGGGGGCTCAGGCGGGTCCACTCCCGGGCAGCCAGCAGCCCAGGCTGCACATGGCGCAGTATCTGGAGGCTGCCTGGCCCTGTCCTCTGGCTATACGCCGGGGACCACGGCTATTTACAAAGGATCTGTGTGGAGGGCTGCTGCTGCCACCCCGCCAGCTCACCAAGAGGGGAGCCCAACACCGATGAAGGGGCTCACAACCATGGACACCCTGACCCTGTCAGACCCACCTGAGCTCCCAATGTACACCCAGACACAAGCCTCCCTGGCCAAGGCCCTACACCCCCAAATGCTTGCAGAGTAACCAGCTCAGGATGCGGAGGAGCACCCACAGCTCAGACAGACGGCTGGGACAGCAAATGGCTGCACTCTGGAACGCCACCGCACACCAGCGGTGGCCCTGGGGCCAGGGCTCTGTGCCAGAGATCTCTGGGTTAGGAGGGAAAAGCCACAGCGGCACCATTAGCCCCTCCAAGAGCACCTGGGTCCCCTCAGCGCTCTCTCCACACACCGACAGGGAGAAACGGAGATGGACCCACGAACACAGACTGCATCGTGTCCCGTGGCTGTCTCCAACAAGCAGTGCGTGTGGTGGACACAGTCACAGACAGGGCAGGCCAGCTGCAGCTCCCCCATAGATGTCCGACCGAAGGTCACAGCGTGTGGCACATCTTTCTGGAGGTGAAGGTTCTGGACTCAGGCAGAGTCACCTGCCTCTTGGCACCTCTGGGTGGACTCCTCTCAGGCTCTCTGGGCAAACCTGGGTGCCTAGGAGGACAACTTGTGTCCTGGTTTTGAGCAGGCAAAGACACAAACCAAGTGCCAATCTGTACTGCAGTATTAACAGTCTGTTCAGAAACTTTCCAAATTCAAAGGCATAAAGGCAACAAACACTACCAAAATACCATACACAACCCCTACATCATCTCTTCCCGGAAGTCGGACTCGCACACTCCACTTTAATCCAGACTCCCACTGTCTTATGTGCTCTCAAGGCCTCTGCGCCCGGGGCCTCCGAGTCCCTCTCTTCCTCCTCGCTCCTCTGGGCAGAAAGGCACCACGTTCTGCGAAACACATTGGCCACACTTGCTCTGCAGCAGCCAGGCTTCCTATGCTGCAGCTTACAGAAGGGAGGGTGAGCGAGAGGCCAGGACCGGGCCGGGGCTGAGACGCAGACGCACACAGCTTCCGCCAAGACGTCCCCTCTCCAGTGACAATGCAACACAGAAAACAGACAACACAATCCTGGACACTCACACTGCCCCTCTGACTACAGACACAGCAAGCCAGCGTCTGGCTCGGGAGTCTTTAAAGTCAGCATCGTTTTTAAGACCGCAAAAACAGACAAGAAAGAAACAGTGAAAAGACAGATTTCTTTACACAGATTTAAGCCAGTATTTTTAGCAAAATGATACAAAACTGTCTTAACCAAGTAGAAGACTGGTAGTCGCGGTGGGATCACAGGGAGTGCAGGTCGGCCACCACTGGCGGGGTGAGAGGCTCATGGCGGGGAGTCGGGGTCTCTGCAACGTCGCCCGCACTCTGCGTCTTCCCAGCCCTGTGGTAACTGAGCTTCTGTGAGGCCGCGGTGGCAGCCCCAGCGGTGGCTGCTCTGGAGCCTGTCTGCTCAGTCTGTATTCGCTGGGTGAGTGGCCTGCAGAGCTCCCGGTGTGAACATTTCGGGTCTAGACCAGGGGGCGTGTCACTAGTAAAGCCATTGGTAACAGAGTAGATCAGCCATGCATTGTCTGCCCTTCACAGCAAAAAGGAGAGTTCTCATCGGTGCACGACAGACTGAAGACCACTGGAAGCCACCCGACTGGGAATCTGTCGGAGCCAAAGCACAGGAGAAGGTCAGCATGGGGCCAGAGCAACAGGCAGCCAGGTGCCGGGGACGAGTGCCAGTCACGGAGCCTGAAAAGTAAAGGACACACTGCCGCCTGGTCCCCGCCTAGACACCTGCACCCACGGCTGCACAATGGGACCTCTGCAGCCAAGACACCCACTGCTGAGTGGAACGGTAACAGCAAGAAGGGCAAGGAAGAAGAGGCATGCAAGCAAGGAGAGCGCAGAGTCGATCACGAGAATCCACGGGGCAGACACATGTGTTCCCAGTGTCCCTTCCTGGAGAGTAACGGTGCGTGCAGAACAGGAGTCCCTCTGTGGGGAAGAACCAGAGCAGTCTCTGCCCTCACACTCCCCAGAGCGCACAGCGCAGCAGGTCTCTCAGTGGCACGAAGCCCTCAGAAGCTCAAGCCCCTGATGGAAGGCGCCACCGAATGCCACGTGGCTGACAAGAAGGGAGCTCAGGGTGGACGCCCAGCCATGCACCGGCACAGGGAGCAGGTGGCTGTGGCCGGATGGGTTAATACAGACGACAGCTGCAGGAACCAGATGGCGAGGCTGGGACCAAGTTTGAAAAGAAATACAAAATGAGACAGAGATAAATGAGAAAGGAAGAGGGATGACTACATAAGCCGGGATGGGGAGAGACCACCAGGAGTCTGAACGCAGCAAGAGCTCAAGAGCCCCAATACCAAGCGTGGCGCCACTCAGCTGAGCACAACAGACACAGGTACCAGTTCACCCCCAGATGGGGCAGCCGGGCCAGGACCCAGGACAGAGGGCAGCGCTGGCACACCGAATGCAGTCACAGGGAGGCTAGAGGCCAAGGGCACAGCAGGACCGTCCCCTAGGGTCGCTCCGTCCAGAGATGGAGGATGCTTCTCCCCTTCAGATGGGGTGCTGACTGCTGCTGCTCTGGAGCCCACGGAGAAGAACAAAGCGGAAGAAGCCTCACTACGCCTCCAGCGCCTGGCATGCAAGCCCAGCCCGCCTGCGAGCCCTACGGTGGGTGGGGAGTAGTCTGCGAGCCCCGCCACGAGCACACTCACCCAGTGCTGCCTTCCGATGGAGACGAGCAGCTACTTGCCGTGGTGTTCGAAAGGAATGCTATTCTGAGGTGGGGAAAAGACAGCGGTTGGTAAGCGCCCCACCGGCCAGACCAGCACGCGAGGCCCCGGCCCGACACCCACGTCAGGCCTGTGTCCGATGTGTCTCCTCGCCTCAGCCAGGTCCAGACACTGACAGGTGCCCCCTCGGGGACCTGGGGACGGCCAGTCTCTCCACACAGCTCACCTGCCTCTTGTGACCGGCCTTGGAAGCAGCCACGGTTCCTCCTCCAGAATCCACAAGGGCACAGGACAGAGCCCGGGGGAGGTGGAGGGATGCCAGCACCTCCCGAGACACACAGCTGGGGCAACACTTCCTCACTCACAGGAGCATCGGGCTACCGATCATGTCTGAGAAGGCTGTGAACTAAATGAGCCACTGAAAGGAATAACTGCACAGAGAAGGCCCTTCTCACAAAGAGAAGAAAACCTAAATAGATTCACCGACCAGACACTCGGCAGGTCCAAGAACTGACAGACAGACGGGGAAATGCAGCCCCCAGAGGGCCGTCCTAACGCAAGGTGCCCTTCAGAAGGGATGGGGCTGAGGAGGCAGCAACTGCCCTCTTGCGCAGCCCAGGAAGTGCCAGGCCCTGCACCAGCAAGAAGGCTCCTCACTCAGTGAGCTGAGCTGCTGTGGGGTCACTGTGCGTGGGCAGGGGAGGAGGACCAGGGCCCCAAAGCCCCTCTGCTGACTTGTCGCCCCTTCACAGATGTGCCAGCTCCCAGAGGGGTTGAGAGGAAAAGAGCAGCGGCCTCCGAGGAAGCTCAGCTGGCAGTGTGGCTGGCGCGACCCCGCGTCTGCACAGGCAGTGCCTGCTGATGCAGTGCCCAGCTCTTCTCAGGAGTGGGAGCGTGGCGGCCACACAACTGCAGGAGTTGCGGCGACTGACACCGCCCCCTTCCAAACTGCAGACGGTGGCTTGGGTGGGTCTGGACAGCGCTGGGGGAGGGAAGAGCTCTAGCCCCGGATGAGCACCCTGGGGTGGGTGATGCCGCAGAGGCAGACGCCTTCAGGGCCCAGAGAAACTCTCAAGTCAGTGGCAGAAGTGGAGCCAGTCCTGGAGAGGGTCAGTGACTGGGCACAGCCTGAACGCGAACAGTCTGGAAACCCAGCGCGGCCAGAGGAAAAGCCAAGGCACTTCCTCTGGAAGACCCAACCCCGCCCTCCCCAAGTTCACAGCCATGTTACAGTTCTTCCGTGCAAACAGGCCTAGCCAGCAGACAGTCTGACCCCAAGTGCCACACAGAAGGAAGGGTACTTTTTCCTGCTACCTGAGGCTGAGATGGCTACACCGCAGAGAAGAGGCTGCTGCACTGCCAGCGCTCCCAGGACCTTTCCACTCACTCATTTCCCTCAATGATTACAAAAAAAGAGCTGCCTCTGCCCCAGGCTATGCTTGCTAGGCGGCTGATACCAAGATGTCCAAGTCCAGCAGAGCCCAGGACAGTCACAGGCAGACTCGGCTCAGGGCCAGGGTGCATGCACTAAGGGACTCACTTTCATGACGCCGGTCAGAGCCCCAGCCCACATTTCAAATAACTCCCCTGGCCAGATGTGGGCGGACTGGGGAGACAGCTCAGTGATGGGCTGGGCCCCCTGGGGGTGGGAGGGACGGCTCACACACCTTCTCACCTTCCCTGCCTATCTGCTCTCATTAAGAGAAAATCAGACAAAAAACAGATCACCGGTCTCCGCTGCTTGCCAGACCAGGCCCAAGGAACCGTGTGCGCTGAGCAGTGAGCAGTGCTGTGCCGCTCCTAGCTAACCAGACAGACACTATGGCCCAACAGAGCTGGGCTGCTGCCAGCGCATGTCTGCCCTGGGCTCCTGCTCACCTGATGAGACTCCTCAGGGCCCGGGGTAGCCCTTGGAATGTTTGCTGGTGACAGGAAAAGCCCCCGGGAACTTCTCCTTGACCCCCTCACCCCATCCCTTCAAGCAGATGACTCTGAAATTTATCGGAGGAAAAGAAACTGCTCCACGTGTAAAAATTCATTCCGGTTTGTTCAGAGCAGCACACTTGTGAACTCACAACACCAACAACAAAAGCAGAGTGAGAAGGGAGGATGCGGAGGAGACGGGTGGAAAGGGAAGACACCACTGTCCTGTGTCCTTGCGCCACTGGCCTGACTCCCCGAACACCCCCTCATCATTGATAAGACAGGGCCCCAGAAGATGAGCAGCTCGCAGCCCACGGGAGCCCCACTCCAGGCACTTCACTCCTGGTGAGCAAAAATGAGGAAAGAAGCCTAAAAGTCATGGCCCACGAGGTGCAAGCGGGCCTGTGCAGTCCGGTCTGCGGGGTGGCACCTGGAAATCAAGCAGCGCAAGAGAAGGCTTCCCACAGTGCACTGCTCCTGTCCTCGAGGGGCTGGGACACAAGCCCTCAGCAGCTCGGCTGTCTCAAACTCCAAACAGAAAGCAACATACAACTAGGAGTGCAACTTCTCCCACAGGTAAGAAATTCTCAAAAACTGGGAAAAAAGAAGGAAGGAAAGGAGGGAGGGAGGGAGGGAGGAGGGAGGAGGGAGGACGGACGGACGGACGGACGGACGGACGGCAGGCAGGCAGGCATCAGCCCTTTCCCCAGTCTCATCCCACTCTCCACTCTGAACCTGGATGAAGAGCGGTCCACACAGGGTGCGCAAGCAGTCCCACGGCCACACTCTCCAACACGCATCCCCTGCCCCGTGTCCGGGCCTGGCTCGCCCTGGCCTGGCAAGCTCCGACGCCTACCTGTGAGGTGGACATGCGAGAGGTATCTTGTCGGCCTGTGAGATCGGACGAGGAGACGTTGACTGGGGCCCCTCGGTGCAGCCGCATGCTCACTTTCCGCTCTCGCTCCATGCCGGAGACGGGCCGTGGAGAGGTGTTAGCTGGAGGGGGGAGAAAACCAAGGATCCTGAGGAAACCTGGCTGCTTCCACGGGTGCAGCAGTGGCTGACAGCACCGGTCACTCAACACGCAGATCAGGCCAGTGGCCAGTTCCACCTCACTGGGCTCTGGACTAGCGCCCTTCTCCCAGGGGCAGCACCGACACCTGTTCACCAGTACAGGGATCCAGCTAGGCCCCCGAGCATCAGCTGGTGGTGGGAGTGTACCCCAAGGCCCTACTATCCAGAGCACAGGGGGACTTAGAACCTAAAGGTGCATGGAGGAGACACGTACTGTGAGAAGCAAAGTTTATATAAGCAACTGCCAATACTCATAACAGCTTTCAAGAACTCAGTCCCTAACAGACTAGGACCTGGAAAAGGTGCCTGAGCCTGTCTACTCTCTGCATGAGAACTGACTCAAGTAGGGCCACGTTGCTTCACAAAACCCCACTCTTAGGATGCGCACTCACCCGTGTGTGAGGTAGGGGTCAGGGGTGTGGGGGGTGCCACTTCCTGGGTCCCCCGCAGGCGGCCAGATGCCGTGGAAGGGAGGCCGCGGGTGGCTGGATTCCGGGAGTGTCTCAATCGCTCCTCTCGGTCCCGGCGTTCCCGTTCGGCATCATCTGCGGCCCGGCTGGCACCCTGAGGAGGGGAAAGAGGTGAGAACAGAACAGAACAGAAGCGGGATTTGGTGCAAAGCAGCCCAAAGGCCCCGGCTCTCCCTTGCACCTCGAGCTGCCGTTTGGGATGAGACTGCCCTGTAAAGCAGTCTGCGACAGCACAGCAAATCCGAAACAATATTCCCCTGCACAGGGATGATGGCACAGCCTGCAGGCATAGCCGGGCCTTCTAAGTCCTCAAACGCTGGAAGAGCTGCCACTCCACTGCCACAGTGACAGCACCACATCCTCTGGCAGCAGACCGGTAGACGAGACAGACAGCCAGGCCAGAGACAGGAGTGCAGGCTCACAGAAGGGGTCCAACCTGAGTCCAGACCTCTGGCTCACTCGCACTGTCATGTCATGGTGATACCAGCCACGCCACGGACACACAGGCCAATGGTGAGGCTGGCAGCCAGGTTTATGCTAGACCAGCCTGGCACAGGCCACATTTGATCTTATGCAGCCAGTTAAGTGGCAACACAGCCAAACGAGCGTGTGAGTTTTATTCTCATCACCAACACTACCAGGAAGGGGTCTGCAAACTGCACTGTGTCCGACTCTCGGTACACCTGTTCTACTGCACACAGCCATGCCATCCACTGCCGGGGGGCTCTCAGCTTCTGTCAACCTACACGGCTGGGCTGAGGGCTACAACCCTGAAAAGCTACAAAATGAATCACTTGGTCTCTTTCAGAGCAAGGCTGTCAACTGCAACAAAGTTGGGCACGGGGAAAGAACACGTGGGTGGCGACTGTGACATGCAGACTGGACGGTCTGCAGGCACAGCACAGGCGCTGTGGGCGGAGGGCTCTCCGGGCCACCCACCCTGCAGGGCACTCTTTCCAGCACCAGGCCTGGCTACCTGGCAAGACTTCTGGTTCGCATCCCTGAGAAGGCGGTGCTGTTCCTCTATCAGTAGATGCTCTCCGTGCCAGAGCACCAATTTCTACCCTAAACTGCGAAAGTGACCTTAGTCAGACTCAGAAGTCCCACGGAAGCTCAGTTTCTGGCCCAGAGGCTCCAGGGCCTCCTTGTCCACACCCATGGGCCCTGACACACACCTCTGGTGGACAAACTAGGCTAACGGAAGAAACCAAACACACAACTAGCCTACAAGGCTCAGATGCAGGCTCAATCCAGGCTACCCACCCTGAACCCAGGTGAGGCCGTGTAAGGCATGGGACAGGGTCCGGGAGGCCACTTGGCTTCCCCCAAGTGCACTGCGTCCGCAACACACCATGTCACAAGAGGGGGCTCAACCCACGGAGCCCCTGGAACTGGCGACTATCACCCCAGGAGGGCCTTTCAACTGAGGAGGGCCAAGCACGCCAAGAGTGCCGGCTCTGGGCAGACCTGCCATGGCTCCCTCCAGGGCCTCTGCTGCCCACACCCACAACCTCCACAGTCCTTCACTCGCCCCACAGAGAGCTTCTTGGTACCATGAGCCAGGCAGGTAGAAGCCTACCTGGGCCAGCATCCTGCCAGGTGTGCTCAGCTTTCACAGCCGGCAAATGCACACTGTGAAACCTGAGCCCTGTGTACAAGACCTGGCCTGGGCTATTCCCACCCCACAGGACTGAGCTGGCAGTGGCACTTACAAACTTGAGCATGTTCCAGTCGAACACATAGTCATAGGAGAAGCCTTGGCGATGGAACAGATTCCTGAAGAGTTGGCGCAGGTAGGAGTAGTCGGGCTTGTCGTCAAAGCGCAAGGAACGGCAGAAATTCAGGTAGGTGGCAAATTCAGCTGTAAAACAAGAAACTCAGAGGTGACATGCCATTATTGATTGTGACCCAGGCTAGGTTCTATTAACATCCGTTTACCTCTCACACCCCCACACCAAAGGTGTGAAACAAGAAACCCGAAATACCAGAATTTCCCACCAAGGGGCTGACAGTGCAGCTCAGTGGCAGAGAGAGCACTCACCTAGCATGCAAATGGCTCTAGAGCTCAAGCCCATAAAAAAAGCACAGAAGAAAGAGGGAAAAAAGAGAAAGGAGGAAGGAGGAGGAGGAGGAGAGGGAAGAGAATGAGAAAGAGGACATGGAAGAGGAAGAAAAAACAAACAACAACAACAACAATAAAAAAACAGGGCCAGGGATTTAGCTCAGTGGTTCCGGTGCCTGCCTCGCAAGCTCAAGGTCCTGAGTTTGATCCCCGGTACCAAAAAAAAAAAGAGAAAACAACAACGAAAAAGAAAACAACAATAAAAAAACAAACCGAAACACTGACATCACAAAGCAAAGGCTTTTCTGTTCTGGAGGTGCCGAGGCTTGGCTCAGGGCCACTCTTCTACCCCCACCCGCGTACTGGGAATCGAACTTGGGCCCTTGTGTTCGCCAGGGAGGCGTGGCACCACCGAGCGACATCCCCAATGCTCCCTTTTAAACAGTTTTGAGACTGGCTTTCACTAAGTTGTCCAGGCTGTCTCAGCTCCTAAGTAGCTGGGATTACAGGCACGTGCCATCACACCCAGCACAATTTAATGTTCCCGAGGGCACTCATCCCAGGGTCAGTCCCACAGCACATAGGAACATTCCCGGGTTATGGCTCTGGAGGCTGCAGTCAGTTCAAACACAGGGTAGGTGTGTCTGCTCCCATCCTTCCCCTTCCTGGCTGGGCAGGCATCTCCCGAGACTCAGTCCTGCCTTGTTCTCACCTCTCCTGGGTCTCACTGAGCACCCTCCACAGAGAGGCCTTCAGAAATGTGTCAGACAGCGGAGAGGGCAGACTGTCACCCCATACACACAGGCATCCCCGTCCTGCCACCCTCCTTGTAGAAGGTGAGTGATCCTGTGACAAAACCCAAGTAGAGCACCTCCAAATGGAGGCCAGCTCACTGGTGGCGCTGAGCAGGCAGCGAAGGGACTCACAGGGATAGCCTTTGCACAGCACTTCGATGGGAGTGGACATTTTCTTCTCACTGATCCTCTCGTACTTCTGCCTCTTGGTGGCAGCCTTCAGCCCCTGCCAGGGGAGAGAGCCCAGGTTGAAGTACATCAGCACGTACCCCAGAGACTCCAAGTCGTCCCTTCGAGACTGTTCTGGAACGAAAAGGGAAATGGTGGTGTCTTCAATGGTGGTATCCATGTATATGGATAAAAGCAAAAGACCCAGCAAACATGATGATGGAATAAACTTTAGAATCCACTTAGTCTACTACTTTGCCAACTGTCCCTCCTATCGATGGTGGAAAACCCCAAAGACCCTGACAGCAACAGCAGTGTCTCAGACGACCCCTGGAGAAGCCAGCCTTGTCTGCCCTGGCACAGCAGTCGCTGAAGCCAGCCTGTCTGCTACAAATGTGGGACGACAGCCTACAGACCCATGGGCCTGAGCGCCCTGCACTGTCACAACCCTAAGGCCACCCAAGGGGCTATCCTTTCCCCAAGCTATGGACAGACATGCCCAAAGCTACCCAGGTCAGCACCCGACACCCAGGGCTCACCGATTCCGAGGTGTGTGTTGATGGAGGCATACCGCGCCGTGCCTGTGAGGTTCTTATTCTCTCGATAGGGGATGTGCTGGTGGGTCCTTGCGTCCCGGTACTTCTTGGCCAGCCCAAAGTCAATGATATAGACCAGGTTGCCCTTCTTCCCCAGCCCCATGAGGAAGTTATCTGGCTTCACATCTCGGTGGATGAAGTTTTTTGAATGAATGTATTCAATACGACTAATCTACAAGCAGAGAAGCAACGGCAAGAGATTCAATTCCAGAGTGGCACTTGGCTGAACAAATGCCTGCTCTCTCTGTGTACCAACAGGCACAGTAACAGAAAAGCAACTGAGTAACCTGTCCCATCAGGTCAACCAGTGTGTCCCAAGCACCTGTGCTACAGGGCACCAAGAGAGGAGTGCTTACCATCTGGTCGGCAAGCAGCAGAACAGTTTTAAGACTGAACTTCCTTGAGCAGAAGTTGAAGAGGTCTTCCAGGCTCGGGCCCAGCAGCTCCATCACCATGACATTGTAGTCGCCTTCGGCTCCACACCACCTGATGGTGGGGATGCCCACTGCACAAGAAACCAAACAAAGCAGTTCAGCCCAGGCCACCGCGTCAGCTCGCTTCTACCCAGTGCAACACAGGCAAGTGGAGTGGGATGGGACTGTGAGGGTCAGAAGACCCAAGGACCCACCCGAAGGACCATAGCCAGGATCAGGCCACACACCTTAACAGATGACTCAGAGCAGACTCTAATGAGGGTGTCAAGCAAGTAACATGGGAAGTGAGACAGGATCTGAGCTAACTTTACAACCCAGGAAAGGCAAGTGGACAAGGTAGCAGCTTAGGTAGCCAGGACCAGGAGGGTCAGGCAAACACGACCCAGAATGTAAGGCTGAAAACAGAAATGAAAGCAGCCACCATGGGTTGGGTAAGAGAGAAAAAAACACCCTTTATTCACTCTGATGTTGATAGCGAAAAAAGCAAACGCAGTGAAATACACACAGTGACCAGGTGTTATGGCTTGTATCTAGCTGTCCCCTCAAAGCCTCATGTGCTCATAGGTGCGGAGTTTCAAAGGTGGCTGGGTCAGGGTATGTGGCTGCGGATTAACTGTGTGCTGCTGGGTTTAAGGGTATAATTATGCAAGCTCCATCCTGGGTACGGGTGGCACTGCTCAAACGGCTTAGAGTCTGGATGGACTATAAAGGGACAGAAAGAAGGGAGGTCAGCTGCCACCGCCACCTCTGCCTGCCACGTCAGGAACCGTTTCTCCTCTGTGCTGCCCTCTGCCATGCCGCCCTGCTCTGGAACCATCCAACTATGGGCTGAAACCTCTACAAACTGTGAGCCAGAATAAATCTCTCCTCCTTGAAACTTGTGGGTGCCAGGTATTTTGTCCCAGCAGTGAGAAAAGTTTTAAGACACCAGGCCTCAAACAGATTGCATCAATGGAAATGAGAATAAAGACAGGATAAATTTAAAAGAAAGGAACATACGAGCTAGAGCCTCACATGAGGGGAGAAATTTAAAGATGCCTTTGAGAGAGCAGATCTGAAGACATAAAACAAAATTCAACAATCCGACTTTTGAAAAACTAGGCAACACCAGACACTTCACCAACAAATCCACACGCTACAAATAGGCAATAGTCACAAAAAGGTGCTCCAGGCTCCTAAGACCATGGGCTCACGAAGACCACTGTAAGAGTACACTGCAGCCCCCTCAGGAGTCAGAAGCCCAACGCTGCTGAACAGCTGAGCTGCCTGCGTGCAGCACCTCCGGGCGCACATGCTGCCTGTGAGCTCCTGCCGCTAGGTCATGATGGCAGCCTTTCGGAGGCAGTGCCCACCTGCAGCCCCAAAGCCATTTCCTTCTCGCCAAGCACCAGCACTGCAGTCAGACCCGAATACTGGGGCTTTAGTTCAGAAAAACAACTCGCACACTGACATCTTCTGTCCTGAAAGAAAACAGGTGTGATGGGCTCATCCCCACTGCACTAGACCCTCCTCACACGGGAGTTCCGCACCTTGGGAGCTGGAGGCCTCCGTCCTTCTGCAGCGAGACACTCGTGGTTTTAGTTCAGCCTCATAGTGAGTTTTAATGCCGACAGGGAAGTCTTCCCACTAAAAACTGTCCTATTATCTAAAACTAGTATTTTGCACTTTATAGGAGAATACCCTAAACCAATATAATCAGCTGCAGAGCACAGTGGAGCTAACCGAGGGCTGGAACCCACCTCGGACAGCCGAGCAGCAGCATCTGTGTCCCTGCCTCGCCTCACCAGGTAGTCACTGCCCACAGCCCCTGCCTCGCATCTCCCTGCCAGGAGGCCAGGTGTGCCTGCTGTACAAGGCCCCATCCACAGCCTAGCCCTCTGCTGTCTGGATGGTGTGGGCTTGCTTCCAAGGGCACCGCTGGGCACAGTCTCACTGTGTCTAGTATGAACATTCTTACACATGCAATTCTTTTTTTATCTTTTGTTCCTTCTTCAAAGTTTCTGAGTTGTAAAATACAAATTATTCGACTACAAAATACACACAAGATAAAATCAAACTGGTTCCCAAGATGGACCAAAGGCCAAGGCTGCCTGACCCAGATGTTAGAGTGCAAAAGCAGGGTATTAAAAATTCAAATAGCTGGGTGTGGTGGTGTACGCTGAGGCAGGAGGATCACCTCGAGTTCGAGGCCAGCCTGAACTACATAGCGAGACCCCATCTCAAAAAAACAAGGAAAAAAATTATATAATAAAATGATATAATAAAGTACAAGTGTATCCAATGTCAAGAAAGTTAAAAAAACAGAGAAGGGGAGGGGGGACAAACAAGAGCAAATGAGCCCAGAGACTCAGCTCCACAGGGCAGGGCACTGCTCCCACCAGCTCTGATGAAGACAGCTCTGTGAAGTTTGGTATTTGCAGGGCAAACGCCCTTCTGCCTTGGAAGCGTGGACATTACTCTTGGCCCTTCATTCTGTCTTGTCGTGTAAGAGCTACTGCATTTTGACTGGAATTTCACTGGAATACAGCAGCAACTCTGGGAGAACTGCTATCTCAGGCTTCCTTTCCATGAACACAGGAATCTCTACATGAGCCTTCCTACGTGCTCTCCCATGAAGCCTTTCCATGTCTGCTGGGGATTTAGCTCAGTGGTTTCACCCCCTGCTGCGCAAGCACAAGGACCTGAGTTTGATCCCTGGTACCAAAAAAAAAGAAAGAAAGAAAGAAATTATCCATGTTCGCATGTAGCTCTTGATACCTCCTGGGTCTCATTATTCTTTCGTTACGCTTTATAAATTACTGCTGGTGTTAAGAACTGAGTACACTATATTTTGATCTTAACCTAGTTAAACTCTGATTTCTTTTGTGTTTACTATGGTAACAGTGTTATCTCCCATGGGGTTCAAGGCTGGTAAGCACAGTAAGAACAAAAGGGCTCCTGCTCTCAGTTCCCTGGCCAGGAAGAGGCAATGCGTTCTCTGGATCTGCTTCATCCTCAGCAGACTGTAGCAAACCAAACTAGTGAAGCAGGAGGCAAGAAGTTCTGAAGCCACTCGGGAGAACATGCCCTGTGGCCAGGGTGAAAAACTTCTTACCTATAGGCTGATCACTGTTACTCTGTGAGAGCAGACATTTTATTTATTATTATTATTATTTTTGGTACCAAGGATTGAACTCAGAACCTTGCGCTTGCCAGGCAGGCACGGCACCACTGAGCTACATCCCTGGCCCATGAGCAGTCATTTTCTAGGAGAAAAACCCAGAACACGAAACAGTCCTGTGCCTGGGAAGGGCTGCTTCTGACGGCTGTGCAGTGAGCGGCAAGGCTGGGGCCAGGAGAGAGCCAAGCACTGCTGCACTGTCCCAGGGGCCACTGCCACCTGCCGGGTGCACACCGACGCTTCCCCGCTTGGGCCAAGGCACCGAAGCGCCTTCTCGGATGCAGACTGCAGGGATAGAACGAGGCACTGGCAAATGCTTTCCACTGTGGGGACCTGGCATTAAGACAACTGTAAATTTTCATGAAATTTTCTGCAGCTCATCCTTAAGATTATTAACAGTGGGGCCGGGGATGTAGCTCAGTGGGGCCGCGCCTGGCTCGCAAGCACAAGGTCCTGAGTTCGATCTCTGGTACCAAAAAATATGTATATTAAAAGTAGAACTGTCAAATATTTTAGACAATATTATTATTCAGATACTGAAAAACACAAATTTGTTGTGGGATGAAACAAAAATTGAAAAACAGGGCTGTGGGTGTGGCCCTGGTTTCAGTCCCTAGCCCTGAAAAACAAAAGCAGAAACAAGCAACTCCTCCATCCCTGCCGCTGGGAAAGACATGGGCAAGCGAGGAGGAGGGCAGACAGACGGGGCTGGGCAGGTGCACGGGTTCCACGGGGACCCCAGGTCCTTCTCGGGGGTGAAGGGGCAGTGCTATCTGCTCCTACACCCATGTTCCACGTGCCCTCACGATAGATTATGGTGTGCACTCCCCCACCTGGACTCCACACAAAAACCTTGCTCTCTCTTCCCCAGACCACTCCAAGTACTTTATTGTCAAACAGAAGCAACAAGTGGTCCAACCTATGTTTTAGGCACGCTAGGATTGGAAAGAACAGCCACAATAGTCTCTAGGTTTTATCCCGCAGACACTTAACTGTTGATAAAAACACTGTCCATCCAGTCTTTCCCCAACACAGCCAATTTTAGTTTATTTCTGCTGTTTCGTGTTTTTAACTGATTGCTCCAACCAGATTCTGGACGGGTGGAATTTCCTGGGCCCTGCCTGAGGCTGCTCAACCTCCAGTCTTTGTCTTCTGGAAGGTCACAGAGCCTCTTGAGCTTGTCCCTCACTCGCAGCCTGGGACACTGTGTTTCCTGGAGGCCTTCGCCACCCTCCGCAGCTGTCACCAGGCCCTGTGACGGCCTGTCTCCAGCAGCCACAGCCACGTAGCTCTGCACTTGGTCCTCCAGTGCAGCCTGAGCCAACCCACACAAGCAGATGAGAGCCACCACACTCAGAGGTGCTTACTGCTGCTCCCAGAAGATCACAGTCCACATTCACCTACCCAAGTGAGACACTGCACAAGGCTGGGCAGCAGGCTGCAGGACATCCTGAAGCACAGAGCAAACAGCAGCACGGCCAGCACCGGCCTGTTCTTCACTGAATGAACTCCTGGACAGCCAGGGCCAGGTGTTTCACCCGACCCATCCCAGGCTCTTACAGGACTGCTTTTCTTCCCATTTGCTGCCAGTCTTCAAAGAGATGGCGTTGCTTACCATATTTAAGCTTGTAAGGTTTAAGTCACTCCCAGCAAAGAAAAAGCCTGCCTTCTCTCACTCTATTCTACTGTCAGAAACTTAGAGCTACGCAAATACTCCCTACTGCCCTCAAAGCTTCCCTGCACCAAAGGCCACCAGGGTGCAGGGACCACTCCCGGAGACGGGGCTGTCTGTGCTGCTCTAGGGTGCTACTTGCTGCATAGATGCTGTTAGAGCAGTGTCAGTCTCCAGCAGCAGCACAGTAAGCAAGTTAGCTTTCGCTGAGGGGAGGCTTCAAAGTCAAACCACGAGCTCCCTTTTCCTGTGGCATGAGGGCCAATGACGCCATTGCAGAGCGGGACGGACTCTCAACAGAGGGATCTGCACAGACAGGGGGACAGCATCCTTCAGACACCAAACCTGTCCCTAGGCGGGGGCCACGCTCACTGAGCCTGGACCTTCAGAAGGACCCGTCCTTCCATGCTACTATCTTCATGACTCTGACATTCCCAAGTCAAATTCCCTCCTGCTCCACCAGCCAAGCGATTTCACATTCCAGAAATTCTAAAAGTGAAACTCTGGCTCCATGTCTGGCCCACTGACTGGCCTCCAAAGCCCCAAGGCCAGGTTTCACAGATTTGCAACAGTGACTTTGCTAGAAAAGGTCATGGGAGCCACCACATTCCAAAGTATTGTTTTATCCAAGAGAAAACTGGACTGTGAGGAGTCTGAAGGAACTCCCCCAGAGGTGTGAGCCATGCTCAGAAAGTCCCCACAGGGTGACCTGCAGCACCACACTGGTGGGACCTACAGTTATCAGTAGCTGTTGTTTCTGTACAATTCACATAAACCCTGGATTTCAGATACTACTGTCAATGAGAAGCTAAGTAAAGTAGTCTTTGTACAGAAAGCCCCAAATCACACTTCTCTTTGTTGGATGAGAGCTTCTGCATCTGAGCCAGTCTCTGAGCAAAAGCCATGACAACTGGTCATGGGTGCAGGCGGCTATCTTCCCCGCTTCCCCCAAGACAAATCATACGCTGCGATTTGTGACACATTTCAACAGGTAAAGGACAAACCTCCTCCCTGCATCATTTTGTAGATTTTGCTCTCGATGTGGAGCTGAGGGTGTTTGGTCTTGACACATTCAAGCTTGATGGCAACTTCTTCTCCTGCAGCAATGTCCGTACCTTGGCAAAGAAAGAAAAGCACAAACATTAATTATCTGGTGTGGACCACACAGCCCAACATTACCGCTCACTGCAGAAATGACCACTGCCTGAATTTTCTAAAATGGACCAAATAATGGCTGGTCGGTACTTTTTGAGATAGCATCATTGGCTGACAATCTGTGGAAAACTGTACTATTTGAAAGGTACAGGAAAGTCTACCCAGGATCCCATCACCCACTTCCATTTGTACCCACTCCACCAGAGCTGCAGGGCCTGTCCCTTCTGGTCTGAACCTTCCCACCAGCCCTGTCAGCTGGCCTCTGCACTCACTCACCAAGGGACACCATGACAGAGCTCCAGGGCACTCTCCATGCTGCCTTGATGCCCTGGGATGTGCCTAGTCCCCTCCCACCAGGAGGGCTGCGTTTTTGTCCCTGCCCGCCCCACTTCAAGCCTGGCCAGGCACAGCACCCTCCAGTACGTAGCTCTCTGTTCTGGGCAGTTCTCAAGTGGGTTCAGCTCCCGCACAGTCACAGGAGCCACTCCCCAGCCCAAGTGCTACACAGAGGCTCAGGCAGGCCAAGGGAAGCCCCTTTCGCTTCCCAACGGCACTAGATGAGAAGAATGGACTCTTCCCAAGCCCCAGTGGCACCCCATAAAAAACCCGGGGCACACACCTTTTGTCAGTTTGTGGCTAATACAGTAATGACTAGCCTCTAACTTTGGAGGCAAAATTACACAAAAATCCGTTGCTTTTACGTTGTATCTCTGCTTTTCCCCAATAAGGGCCTGCAGACTCACCAAACACCTCTCCTCTAGGATCACACAGCATCAAGGTTCCTGAGTCCTTGTCTGACCCAAGCCCTGCCTGGACCCAGCCCTCTTCACCCCAGGATGTAACCAAGACCTTTGACAACAGAAACCAAGCCCCATGCTACTATGGCTGTGTCTAGATGTCCCCCAAAGTCCCATGTGCTCATAGGTGGGGCTTTTTCAGAGGTGACTCAATCCAGAATATGTGACTGATACATGGTACAATGCTGGGATTAAAGGTGTGTGATTACTAAATGAGGACACTGATTGGTTTGATGCTGGCCTAATCCCAGTAGTCTACATAGGATATAAAAGGGGCAGAGAAGAGTGGCTAAAGTTCCTTGCTTGCTTGCCTGCCTTCTGCTACCTGCCATGAACTGTTTCTCTTCCACGATGCCCCTCTGCCATGCCACCCTGCCTTGGAGCCAGCCGATTATGGACTGAAACCTCTACAAACTGAGAGCTAAACAAACCTTTCCTCCCTTAACTTAAAGGTGCTGAGTATTTTGTCTCAGCCAGAAAAGTAACACACACGTCTAGCCCTCCTCTCCCCTCAGAGTCCTTCTAAGTAGAAAACTTTCATCTTTCCCAAGAGTGTGGTTATTTGCAAAGGAATGAACACAGGCTCCCACTCCCTGACAGACTACAGTGGGGGCCTGGCTCGCCAGCCCTTGGTAACTGGGTTTCTTGTCAATTGAGACTGGGGGGAGGCGTTGCCACCCATCTCACAGGGGGCTGAGGAGGTGAATGGGATCACAGTTACACGGCACTCGAGTCCTAGGAGAAAAGGCAGAGCAAGGCCAAGCAAGCACCAGGACAACCTGACTTCTGCCACCACCCAGACAACACTTCACAGAGGTGGGACTTTCAGCCCACGGAGACAGCTGTACCAGATGCACTGCTCTCAGCAAGCCCAGGCCCAGAGCCAATTGCCAGTACTGCAGATCAGTAGGAATCACTGCATCTCACTGCTGGTGACTACTTAAGAACTTTGACTCTTTAGGGCACATTAAATAAAAAAAAAAAAAAAAAAAAAAAGATAGGCAATACATCTTATCCTTCTTGCCTACTGCTGGGACAATCTACCCAATTACAAGAGAAATGACTTCATCTAAAATGTACTGTGCAGATGAAAAATGACCTCCGAGTTCCTCTAAGGACCTGGACTCTGAGCTGAACTCGACAGCAGGGAAGGACAGTGACTCATCTCACTGGTTACATCAGCAACTCCCCGCACCCTGAAGCGGCACAGCCCCTGTAGACATCACCACTACCCTTGCCAGCTGGCGGGTCCAGTGACAGGACAGCCTCAGGCCAGTGAATCTACTGGACCAGGATCTTCAAGAAGGCCAAAGACACCTCCAGCTGCACTACTCTGAGGCTGATAAAGTTCATGTGGGCCACACCCCTACAATCTGACAGTCTCGGGGAGAAATGACCACTGGTGACTGCGCAACACAGTATGAACGGGATTCTGTCATGGGGAAAGGGTGTGTGCTGTGCCAGCAAACAGAGCCAGTGCTCCTGCAGGACCACCGATGACCACCTGTAGAGGAGCAGCTGGATACAAGCTCTGCACACACGTGAGGACAGCACATATGCTGGTCTCCTCCAGGACTACTACCCACTGGGTAGAAGGACCAAGCAGCAGAACTTCAAGTTCTGTGCATCCCACTGTCTCCAGTGTAGACCCACAGGCCTGCAGTCCTGCACCCCTGCCCCCTCCTGGGTTGGCAGCATCCTCCAACACCCATTAGCAATGCTGCTCAAAGTCCAGTCCTGGTACTGCCACTACCACCCACAGGGGAACAAGTAAGAGATCAGGAAGCACTGAGAACTCTGATGGCAATTTGGGATTGCTGCAACAGATTGGAACTTACAAAAATAGGTTCTTTACCACAGGTAAGCCGGAGGAGAACTGCTAGAAGAGACACAGGTACCTGTATGAAAGATTTCATAAAGCTCTGGGTTCTTCATTCAGAACAAAACCAGGTGATGGGCAGAAGTTCATTCAGGTTGTCTGACTATACCAGGGACATTTATCACACCAGACCTTCAGTTCTTTTGTGCAGCTCAACAATCCTGCTCTGCTCTAAGACAGGGCTCACTTACAGGCATAGCTGTCGGTCTGTGTGTAGACACAGGGTAATGCTAGTCCTGGGAAACCAAAATTATCCCTCAAATTGAGGAGACCAAAGCAGCTGGTGAATTATCTGACCCTAATTCAGAGCATGATCTTGTCCTGGGACAGGAAGGGCACTCTGAATTACCAAGCTCGATACTGGTAATTACCACTAAGGACTGTCAACAGAGAAATACAGAGCCCCCTTAGAAGAGTAGGGCAAAGTTCACATTTGAACTTTGTGGAGCAGTGTCATGACTTCTTATTAAAAATACATAAATGAGGGCCGGAGATTTAGCTCAGTGGTTTCACCGCCTGCTGCGCAAGTGCAAGGACCAGAGTTCTATCCCCGGTACCCCTCCTAAAAAAAACCCCACATAAATGGGCTTAGGACATAGCTCAGTGGTAGTGTGCTTGCCCAGTATTGGCCAGGGTGGGGCTTCGATCCCCAGCACAGGAGAAAAAAGAGGGCAGGAGAGAACACTCAAGCAAAACCCAACCCCAAGGTAAATGGCCCTCTGCTCTCATATCCGGCCAACACGCGGGGATACTGTGGTGTGCTAGACACCATGCACAGGGCCTCTCCAGAGAAATCAAGGGAGTGAGGAAAGATAAATCATAAAGAAGAGCCTAAGGCTTGGCTCCCCAAAGACGCTGCATATCTTGGAGCCCAACTTCTCTGTCCATCCAGGTAAGGAGTAGACAGACAAGGCTCTGAGTGAAGAAGAAATGCCTACAGTGGGCAAGAAGAAACCTTCCTTCTACCATCTGGCCCCCAGACCCCACTGCTTGCTTCTAGAAGACAAAGACAAGAGCAGAGCCTAACCCAGGAACTCTGCCATCTTGGCATGCAGTCACTCCGCACACTGGCCAGCAGAGCAGAGCTCCACTTACCACCATCACCACCTGCCTCAGCCTGACCCAGCTCTTCTTCCCTCAGGTTACCCTGTCACACTGGCGGGGCACACAGCCTCTGAAGAGCACTAGCTGTGTTTCCAAATGTTATCAAGTTTGTAAGTGGCACACTGCCAGCGAAAGTGAAGGACTTCTGGTTTCTACTAGCTCAAAAATCTTATCACCTACAGAGCAATGGGCTGACACAGTAAAGGGCACAGAGCTGAGAGGCTGCCTTAAACCTACTTGCAATACCTAATATCCTGTCCGGATGTACTCTTTACAAGCGTGTGGACTTTGGTGCCTTCCAGCCTGGCCCTGAAGAGCCTTCCCCATCTGGCTGGCTTAGACAGAGGACTAGGATTGATCTTTCTAGCTCCCAACAGCAGCCCAAGTCCATTACGTATAATTTCTCAAACCCAAGAATTCGAGAAATAGCCCCATGATGCTGTCCCTATTGAGGCAATGAAGGGGCAATTTTGGAAAAGACATGAAAGAAAACCTGCCAGGGCACCCCATTGCGGCCCTTCCCCTGGCAGCACAGCAGGCTTCAGGAAAGACTGCCCAACACCAGGTGTGGCCTTCTCATTCCATGGGGTGCCACTACCCAACGGAAGGAAACCCTTCCCCTCCTGCCAGTTTCAAACACCTGGAAAAACAGAATGTCCCAGGTGGAAATCCAAACCCTCCCAAGTGCCAAGCTCAAAACAAAACCGGAGGAGTGGAGTGCTTCTGAGAATTATCAAAATGGCAACAGGAAAGGTTTCAATTTACACTCTCAGCGGAATATATAAGACAGTTTTTGAGAGAGGACCCAGTTCCTCAACTCATGTCCAACTGGTGGCAGAAAATTATAGTATATTTGAGTCAACCCATCCCATGGTCTTCAAATCAGTGCTCTTTAACTATGGACTATAACTTTCCCCTGACCTGCCTTTCCAGCCTGTCTTGCTCAAGCTGACATGGCCATTTTGGGGTTCTGCTCCATAGTGGGTGGCTTGAAAGGATGGCAACACAGGCTAAGAGTCAATGCCAATGGGAAAAGACTGTCGATACCCACCCTTACGCCAACAAACAGGTCATCTGGGCACTTCGACCCCAGGACCTCAATGCCACAGCAATCCCATTTTAGCACAGACCTTTCGTCTCGGCAAGAGTGTAGTTCAATTGATCAAGCGCCTTAATGTATGTTCGAGGCAGGTGAGGCCTGAAGGACACAAGTGTGAATGAGGAACAAACCTCACAAAGCCCGCACCCTCTATGAGAACTGCTCACACTTCTGAACAATGTGTGGTGACCAGCCCACAACTGGACTGTCAGGACCAACCTTCACAAAGCAAAGATGTTTGACAAGGTCTCAGAAAACAAAAAGTTTCAAAACACCTACTTTTTGATGCCTACAAAAGGGTGGCTAATGGAGTGACTCTTCAATATATCACCAAGACCCTGAGGTTACAACTTTTGCCAAAATCTATTGTTCTATAAATGAGCCAAACAGCTTCCATTTATCCAGCACTCTGAGACTTCCAAAACACTGCCGAGAAGGCATCTGGCTGACTACTTGGTTATAAATATTTAAACAGTGAAACCTAAATGTCTCCCAAGCATATTTTACCCAGCAAGCCATTACAACAAAAGAACAGGTTCAAGTCCATCACAGGGTATGTGATGATGGGCTGACGCTGTGAGTTAACCAGGCACCAAACGTAGTCAGGAGCTACTCGTGGAGCAGATTCGTGCGAACTTTGTCAGCCCTCCAGGTCTTGGAAGGGAGGGGGTGGGGAGCCAGGCCCTAGGCAAGGCGGGACTGCCTGACAGGTGTGCCAGCCAAACAAAGACAGGCCCGGTCTCTGCGACAGAACATGTTTAACCCTAAACTCAAGCCATAGTCTCTGCCTACACAGCACTGCCAGGCTGCAAGTTCCTGGGGTCTGAAATAACTTATGCAATTAAATGTACTTTAAAATTCCCAACGACATGATTTAAGTCAACCCTTTATTACACTGCACATCCTGTCACTGCTAACCCAGGACATTTTAACCCTAAGTATTTTTCAAGTCTATCCTGAACATTTTAATAGCACAGCTCGTCAGTGCTTCCAATTTTGCCAACATTTTAACACTGACTTTGTCTGCATTCATCTAAATTTAATTCTTGTTTATATCCAGTACCAAGTATTCAACTCGGATGCTCAACACGTACTCAATGACAACTCGAAAGCCAAGGGGCTCTGGACGACAGACCAGGCCAGCCACAGTTTCTAGCTCAAGGGGAACTCTCTCAGTCTCTGTTCAGGCCAAGAAAGAGACCCGGGAGGGCACCGGGCCCCACTAGTGGGGTCAGTTAACTAGAGCTGCCATTGTCGGAAAGGGTAGGACAGCCGGTCACAAGGAGCCAGCACTCAGGACGCAGCCGAGCGTTTCCCCGTTTCTGACCGGGTCACTCCCCAAACCCACACCGCATTCAGGTGGTTCTGACATTTTCCCCCACGTGGGCAAGACGCAGGATCGTGGAGGGAGGGGGCAGGCAGTGGCAGACCCGCCGCAGAGCAGCATGGCCTTTGTTTACCGCGGTGACCTCAGGCGCGAGTGGGGGGAGCCGACGCCCGGCCCCGAGGCCCAAGCCCTGCCCCTCCCCTGGACCCGCAGACCCCAGGCTACTACCCGTCCACCCCGGGCCACAACGCCTCTTTCCCCTGGGTCCTCCCCCGCCAAGCCCGCCACCCCATTGCACTCCGGGCATCTTCCAGGGCCCGCCCGCCGCCCCACTGCACCCTAACCATCTCCGGAGCCCGCAGACCCCCACCCCCCGCCGCGCTCCCCGAGTGGCCGTTGTCGGTAGCCCGGGCTCCAGGGCCCCAAGCGCGGCCCCGGGACGTCCCCAGCCTCACCGAGATAGATGTCTCCGAAGGAGCCGCTGCCGATCTTGCGGCCCAGCCGGTACCTGTTCCCGACCCTGAGCTCCATGGCGGCGCACCGCTCGCTGCTGCTTGCCCGGCCGCTTCCTGGGTCTGCGTTGCGGGAGGCGGCGCCGCTTCTGCCGCGACTGCGGGTCCGGTCCGGCTCCGCCCCCCTCACGGCCCCGCTTTCACCATCGCTTTCTGGCCGCCCCGCCGCTCCCAGCGCCTCAATACGGGATGGATGGGACAGTCCGAGCCCCGCCGCCGCTGCTCCGGCCCCTGCCAACCCCGCTTGCCCTCTCCCCGCCGCGGATGGACTCGGATCTTCCGGGCCTAAACCCCCCTTCGGCTGTCTAAAGGAGCCGCCGCCATCGTGTTGTGACGTCACTTCCCCTAGCAACCCGGGGGCGGGGCCGCGGCGCTCGAAGGCGGGGCCTGGCGCTCCGGCCTCTTCCGGGCAGGCGCCTGAGCACCTAACCTGTCCGGCAGCGCAGTGCCCCAGCTGTTCGCATCGCAGGGCCTCAGGGCATCCTGCCCCTTCTTGCGTGCAGGTTCCTAGTGGTCACGCTAAGACTTATGGTTTGCCCACGTCGTGATCGGGCAACCCCGCTGTTCCTCTCGGCAGACCTGGGAAAGGTGCCTGGCGGCGCCCTGTGCAGGAAGACAGGGGCGTCCCCCGCGCGGGAGCTGCCCGTTCCGAGAGCGATGCAGCGGCCATCTGCAGCCTCACGGGGCTGTGTTGAAGGGGAGTGCAGAGGCTGAGGCCTGGACTTTGCCTGCCTCCAGTGCCATCGGCCTGGGGGCCGAGTCTCCATCGTTCGTTACCTAGTCGCTGTTGGAACTGTGCTTTTTTCCTGACAGAGCGAAGAAGCTTTATGAAGTTCAGGCTGTCGGCCAGCTCAAATCTGGGAAGCCCTCCAGAGACGCCCTCACGGCAGGTACCCGGGAACGGAGAGGGACGCCCTCCGAGGCCTCCCCACCCCTCCAGGAAAGTAGCAACCATTGCCGCGCAGTGCATCGTCTGGACATCAAAGATCTGTACACCTGGTCCACAGGGTACAGGGCAGCATGAGGTCCGGGATGCCCGCTGGACTGGTGGACCAGGAAAGCCGCCGAGCAAAGCAGCACACGGGCCGGGCTCTCCACTTTAAGTGTTTTCCTCACCCCCTTCCCAGTGCTGCAGCCGCTGCCCCAGACAGCTGACAGGGGTTAGGGAGACAGGCAGCAATTCCTGAGTCACAGGGCACTTCCTGGAGACAGGAGACATCAGAAGGCTGGCCTTGACCTATGGCCAGAGTGGTGGGCAGTAAGGAACTGCCCAATTCCTCAGCCTTACGGGAACCAAGGGGGGATTTTGCCAAACTAGTAAAAATAACCTTGTTGGCAGAATTCTCTCATAGCTCTTCTGTTAATGAACAGTTGCCTGGCTCTACTGCCAGACTGGAACCTGAAGGGGCGTGACACCCACGCCCTGGAAATGGCTGGACCAGCCTCTTCCTTAGTAGCTGCTGATCTTGGGCCGGTGCCTCCTCTGGAGATCTTCAGGCCCAGCTTCTACTACCTGTCTCTCCTGCCTGTTCTCTTAATTAGTCAGGAAAACCAGCCAACACAGGGACCAGAGTCCTTGCTCCTGTTTCCTTCTGTGGCCGCAGGGGACAGCACTGGAAGAGGCCTGGAAAAAATCAGTGGTGCTTTTTGTTGTCGTTTTGTTCCCCGTACTGGGGATTGAATCCAGAGAATACTGAGCTCTTAATGTTCACATGATCTCACTAAACTGTCCAGGCTGGCCTTGAACTTGCCACCCTCCTGCCTCAGCGTCCTGGGTAGCTTGGATTACAGGGATGCCCAGCTAGTGCTGCCTTTTTTGAGGGGCACTCACTCTTCAGGGTCCTGAACTGGGATTCTCAGCCCCATTATCTCCATGCGTGCTGCAGGTGTCGTGCCCCAGAGCCACAGCAGTCCCCTTTGTGTCCTCAGTTTCCCCTGTGTGAAGCACACTTTTGGCCCCAGGGCTTGCAGGGGCTGTTGCAGAAGGCTGGTCCCCACTCCTGGCTTCTGCACCGGGGTGCCAGGTCCTCACTGCTCATTTGCTACCCTCTGTCTCTGCTCCACCACTCACTTGTGCAAGAGAAGCAACTGAATGCTGGTCTCCCCCAGGTCCTCTTGGCACAGTGATTGTGCCAGTGCAAGGCACCTGGCTGACGTGACAAGCTCTGCTGGGCACGGCCTTGTGAACCTCCCAGCTCACAGTGACCCCAGGCGACCCTACCCCTGCACCTGGTGAATGACTCACATGGCAGATGCCCAGGGCAAGGCAGGTCCTGCGGCCCAAGCAAGATGGCCAGACAGGTGCTGCCTTCAGAGCTTCCCCACCTCTGGGCGTAGACCTCCCAGCAAGACACTGGCCTGGGCCTCCCCTCCCTCAAGACCTACCCAGGACTACCCAGGTGTGTTCTCGTCGGGGCTGAAGCCCCTCTACTCTTAACCCCAAACCGAAGTGGAAACCAGGTTTTGACAACAGTGCTGGGGTGGGGCCTGAGGGCTTCTCGACTGCACTGGGTCCCCCTGTGCCTGGCAGGATGCAGGGACATAGGTTTGTTCATGAGCCCCCTGTGCACAACTTCACTTCCAGTTCTGCAGGCCCCTCCCATCCACCTGACACTTTGTGATTATAATGTCCTTAACCCAGACTCCTGCCCAGGAGGTCAGGGGTCAGATCCTACATCTGGATGACAAATGGTAAATGGACATCCAGCCTGGCCAACATCCTGTCCTCTTCAGAGAGGCAGAGTGCAAGAGAAGCAAACTGCCAGGCATAGTGATGCAACCTGTAATCCTAGCATTTAGAAGGCTGAGGCAGGAGGATCTCACAAGTTCCAGCCTAGCCTACACAACTTAGTGACTTAGCAAGACCCTGTCTCAAAAGGAAAATCAAAGGGTCAAGGTTGTAGTTCACTGTGAAGGCCATGTGTTTAAATTCCCAAGTACCACACATACACGTAAAAAAGTGCCATTCAGTGTTCTTTTTCTGCAGATTAACAGAGGTGTGACTGATGCTACAGTCAATTTTACATCTTATCACCCCAGAACAGAAGCCTGCACCCAGCAGCCACCTGCCGCTCCCTGCAGGAGTGAAGGAAGCAGTGGTCCCCTCACTGGTGTGGCCAGGCCTGGCTCTAGCCCTCACATATTTATGCTTCCTGTTTGGTCCTCAGAACCCAAAGCAACAGCCCCCGAGTTCATGTACCCCATCCCAGCTCACGGTCCTCGTTGGCAAGCGCCTGATGCTCACCCAGTCTCCAGGAATAAAGGGCGTAGGTGTGTGTGAGCCACATGGGAAGCTGACCTGGGACTGGACACAGGATGGAAGCCACTCCAGGGTCCCCAACACCTCCTGGCCCTCCAGTTCTGTCCTTCCTCCACTGGCCAGCGTGCTCTGGCTTCTAGAAGTTTCTGCTCTTTACAGCTTTCCTGACCCTAACCCCAACCCTACAGTGGGTTCAGCTCCCTACGGGAGGCTCATGCTAACAGGAGGTATGACCCATTCTTTGTCTGCCACAGGTCACAGGCTGTATGTCACTGGCCACTCTAGCGGCAGTTACAGCGGACAGGGCCTCACACAGGCTGTGAGCACCATTGGGTTTCTCTGTGCTACAGTCTGGAGCAGCCGAGGCCACTGGGAGACCAGGCAGCCGCCCACCCAGGACTCAGAGACCACATGTCCTCGCTGTCGCCCCAGTACCCCCTGCAGGAGCACAGCAATGCTGACACTCATGGTTCCTCGAGTGTTGTGCCTGCAGGCTCATTGTGCTGACAGCTGATGGGCTTTGGGGCAGTGACAGGGTCACGAAGGCCCGAACTTCGTCAGATGGATTTATCCATGGATGAGTCCATCTAGGAATGGGCTGTTAGGAAACGGGCCCTGGCTGGAGGAAGGAGGTTCCTGGAATCTGCCTTTGAAGGGCATACCTTGTCACCAGCCCCTCCTCTGTGCCTCTCCCATTCTACTTCCAGGTCATTGTGAGGAGCGGGTTTCTTCCACCATGTCCTCTTCCACGGTGTTTCTGCCTCACTGCAGGCCTAGAAGAAACAGAGCCAAGTAACCATGGGCTGAAACCCTAGACCATGATCCCAAATAGCCCTGCCTCCTGCAAGTTGTTCTTCTCAGATATTTTGTCCCGGAAATGGAAAGCTAACCCTCCTAGGAATCACCACAGTATCACCCAGAAATGGCCCAGAGAAACCAAATGTTTAAAATGTCTGGGTTTTTCATGGCAGCTCCAATTTCAGATATTATGTAAGACTGGATAAAGTGTGCTGTGTCTGTACAATGGAATGTTATTCAGTCTTAACAAAGGAAAGAAATTCTGGCACATGCCACAGTGTGGATGAACCTTGAGAACATTTTGCTGAGAGCACTAAGATGGTAACAAAAGGATACTGTGTTTTCCTCTCCTCCAAGGCCCCTAGAATGGTTCGAGTCACAGGCACAGAAAGCAGAATGGGAGTTGCTAGGAGCTGAGGGATGAGAATGGGGAGTCAGAGTTCAATCATGGAAGACCTGAGTTTTGGTCTGATAAGATGGCTACACAACATTATGCTTGTCTCTAGGGGTGGGATTTTGAAGGGAGCTTTTTGTTTGTTTTGCAAATGCTCAGAATAGAACCCAGGGCCCCACCCATGCCAAGCAAATGCTCTGCCACTAAGTTATACACCCAGCCCTGGTTGCATATTCTGGACGTAATTAGATAATTACATTATCTAATAAGTTAAATAACCCATTCTAAAACAGTTAAGATGAAAAATGGCTGAGACGGTAAACATGTGTCACCATTCATGGGGGAGGGATGGTGTAAAGGAGAGGGCGGCCACACAGGCAGCTCATGCGGAGACACAGACAGGGCTGTGGTGGTGGCCCCCCTCTGCCCCGGGGAGACCCACCAAACTCCACCACTGAGCCGCAGCCCCGGGGGGGCACTGTCAGCACCTGCGTGTCACTGCGCCATCTTTCTGCTGCCTTGGCAGCCCCTCGTGGCTCTGATGGCCCCAGTCGCCGTTTCTTTGCTCACCCATGATGCTGAGAATCTGCACAGCTGCAACAGGTACTATGCCTACTTGCCTGGTTTGCCTGTGTGTGTGTGTGTGTTGAAGCCAAGTGGCGGTAAGGAATGGCAGATGGCAAGAAGGTGGCGGCCCACTGAGCTGAGTGGCTCTGCAGGTGAGGCGCTGCCTGAGGCTCCTCCTGGCAGACCTGCTAGCCTTGGAGGCCAGCAGTCAGAGAAGACAGACCAGGCACAGTGCCAGGAAGCAGCACACCCTTCTCTGAACCAGAGAAATCTATGCTGAAGACTCTCTTGGCTGGGATGTAGCTCAGTGGG